TAAAATGTATGAAATAAAGCATCAAGGCATCTAAGAGACATAAACTAACACTACTTCATTTTGTTTCAGTCATTGTGTAATGTACTTTTCTTATTTTACACAAAATCATTAGCGCTTTAGCGTTTAGCAAAAGTTACTGTGGGTTTTGCTGTTACTTTCAATGGCAAAAATGCAATTACTTTTGTACCAACCTGATATTAGTTTGTTTTGCTTACCTTAAAACTCCTTAAACTGTCTTGCTAAGTAGTTACATTTAACAGAAATTCAGAAATAGTTACACATGCGATTTCTACATGCCCTGATCTCTAGATTCACTAAACATAACACAATAATCCAGTATAATTAAAATTCTCTAAGAAATATTTTTCTAAAGGCAACAGTCTCAATCTTGTAATATTTGTGAGAATAGCTGTTATTGAATGTTCATAAAAACTCTTCCATGAAAACGTCCTATAAAACAGGTTTTATTTGCTTGCCCATTTTGCAAATGAGGAAACTAAACACTGAGAGATTAAGAAAGTCTCCCTTGGTCAGAGGTCTACTAATTAGCAGAACTGGGATGCAAAAAAAATCACTTTTGTGATGTGTCTTTGACAATATTCCATTGCTGCATCTTTGATAGCCTCTTCTACCGTTGTATTTATTTTCATTTAAAATTCAGTTTGCTCATCTTCCACAATGGGAGGAAGTTATGTCTTTCACAGTTCATCTTCAATGGACTTTTAAGAGCTTTGGTTACCCTAAAGCAGCCTAAACCACTGAGATAGTAAATCACTACAACTCTCTACTTCTCCAAGTTTATCATCCCAGGATCAGATGATGATGATTTCCAGGAGAAAATAAATTTGATACATAAATGTGTAATCATCTATCAAAATAATCAAGAAGATTGAATTTGCAATTTACAAATAAAACCCAAAATTCATTTCTATTAACATTTCAGGAGTTTTTAATGAAGAAAAACAGTGAAGGTATAAGTTACTGGACCAATCATGCCCCTATATCCCCAACTCCATTCATACATATATTTAAACAATATTATGAAAGTTAATAGTTTTTGCCTGTAAAGGAGAATGAGAAGATAAAAAATGTGAAATGAAATGAAGAGTTTTGCAAATCTTCATTATAATAAGCTCATTCTTACAAAGTTTTGAATAAACCAGGGATAGAAATACAAAAAGTTCCCAGTAATATAATTTCATACAAGAAGACACTCTGATAACAAATAAGTCTGTGAATAAGGTATTAGTTTGCTCTTCAAGAGAGAGTGATAAAAGATTTGACTACATCAATCTCTATTGTATTGAGTGAAGAACTTGCAGACCTACCTTCAGCATACAGAGTAGCAAATGGTAACTTCTCACTATTTATAATAATGTCTTAAACATTAGGAACACTGGGATCATCTCCCTAGGGGACTATTCAGGTAATTACGAAAAAAATAGTAAGTAAAATTCGACACACAGCTCAGATTTAGGGGCAGTTAAGGAGTGTGGATGAGAAGAAGAAATTTCAAATAAAATAGATCAAAATTCTTTATCAACAATGTAATCTTATCTCTCACTTTCACATGGGTTCTGTCATCTCTTATTTATACATTGACAATTATGCATTTCAGCAAAATATTGATTTGAATCATTTAAAATTTCAGTGAGTCCCTTTCTGGTTGGACAACTGTTCTAAAAAGCGCCATCTGTCAGGATAAATGATCTTAGGAATGCATGTCCCGTGCATCTCATGGTTGTGTTCAGATGTCAGATGCCTCAAAGAATAAATCCTTGGTAAAATGAGCGCAAGTAGAAGTCATTACTGAAGTCAGTCAGGTCTGGGATTATACCTTGGTATAACACTTTCACTATGCTGCCTTGGATGAGCGATGCACTTCTGAGCCTCAGTGTACTCATCTGTAGAATAGGGAAACTATTATCTTACATTTTGGTTGAAATAATCTTAGAATAATGTAGGGATAACTCTCTTCCCAATGGTTGCTGTATGTGAAGCACACAAAAAGTTGTCATTTTCTTGTGCAGTTTTACCTCTAAACAGTTTACTAGTATTATCTTACCACTTCTTTAAGATTCTGACTAATACTATCATTACCTTTAAGAATAAAAGTATTCCTATGTAAAATAAGTATGATGTGCTAGTCACAGTGGTTTATACTTGTAATCCCAGCACTTTGGGAGGCCAAGGGAGATGGATCTCCTGGGGTCAGGAGTTCAAGACCAGCCCGGCCAACATGGTGATACCACATCTCTACAAAAATACAAAAAGTAGCTGGTCATGATGTCAGGTGCTGGTAATCCCAGCTACTTGGGAGGCTGAGCAGGAGAATCGCTTGAACCCGGGAGGCAGAGGTTGTAGTGAGTCGACATAGTACAACTGCACTCCAGCCTGGGTGACAGAGCAAAACTCCCTCTCAAGAGAAAAAAGAGAGAGAGAGAAGTAAAGTTTACAAACTTAAAAGTGACTGAGTGGGTGACAAAAAGTGACTTGTCCAAGATCATCCACAAATTCACTTGAAATTTGGAAACTCAAACCAGAAACTTGGTTTGACCACTGACTTTGACTCATCATTCTTTATAACACTAAACTAACTCTCCAAAAGAATAAACAGAAACGCATTTTGCCTTTGAAAAAAAGAGGTAGCAAATGTGTTTTGAAAGCACTTTATGCTTTTATGCTGGGATTACAGGCGTAAGCCACCGTGCTTAGCATATCATACTTATTTTACAAATAAGAATACTTTTATTCTTCAAGGTAAGGTTCAAATTTACCTGCCAGCATGCTGAAAGTGATCAAATGCTTTCAATACACATTTTGAAATTTATTAATAACAAGAAACTAATTTGGCATATCAAGAGTTCCCACAAAATGGCAAATAAAAGTTTTTATTGCCAAGATAAATTACTTTTAACTTTGGAGTAATCCCAAAAGAATCTGAGTACCTTAGACATTAAAAGTCTCCAGAGGTTTGACATATTTCAACAGGAGACATAGTAATACTATAATCAAATCTAAATTAGTAATTTGTTTATGTATGCAAAAGGTTTTAAAATGCAGCCCATGATTTATGTGTACGTATGTGGAAATGAGTTCATTGCACTTATAGTTTCTCTTGATGTAAATAAAATTCAATCATGGACAAAGAAGAATGCTTTTTTACACTTCCATCAACAGCAGATAAACATTTCTTTTTCTTCACAACCTTACAAGCATCTAATTTTTTTGGCTTTTTGATAATAGCCATTCGTACTGGTGTGAGATGGTATCTCACCGTAGTTTTGATTTCCATTTTGTTAATCATCAGTGATGCTGAACTTTTTCGTGTGATTCTTGGCCTCATGTATCTTAGTTCATCCATTGTGGAAGACAGTGTGGTGATTCCTCAAACACCTCAAAACAGAAATATCCAGCAATTCCATGCCTGGGTATATGCCCACATGAATATAAATTGTTCTACTATAAAGACACATGCACATGTATAGTCATTGCAGCACTATTCACAATAGCAAACACAGGTGATCAACCTAAAAGCCCGTCAGTGTTAGACTGGATAAAGAAAATGTAAATTCCATATACATCATGGAATACTAGGCAACCATAAGGAAAAAAAATGAGATCTTGTCCTTTGCAAGAACATAGATGGAGCTTGAGACCATTATCTTTAGCAAACTAATGCAGGAACAGAAAACCAAATACCTCATGTCTCAGAAATGTGAGCTAAATGTTGAGAGTACATGGACACATAGAGGGGAGCAACACACATTGAGGCCTATGAAAGGGTAGAGGTTTGGAGGAGGGGAAGGATCAGGATAAATAATTAATGGGTACTAGGCTTAGTACCTGGGTGATGAAATAATGTGTACCACAACCCTCTATGACACAAGTTTACCTATAGAACAAACCCGCGCACCTACCCTTGAACTTAAAAGTTAAACAAAAATAATGCTTTTTTCTCAGATGACATCCATCTTATTTTATATTCACATCTTTGCAGATAATTTTTAATTTTTTAAATGTATAATTTAAAATGTATAAATTACATTTCTTTAGCTGTATATTGTTTGCATCAAAACAGAAGGTGATTATTTATTTGACCTGAGGATGTAGATTTGATGAAATAAGTTAAGCTGTAGCTTCATCCTTATGCTTCATGACCATAAGGTTTGAGAGAGATGTCAAATTATGTTCCCATTATAATGTCAGAGAATGTTATCGATAACAACAAATAGTGTGTCCTAAATACTGAATTTATTTCAAATGTAAAAGCTAACTAGAATATATAAGTGCCATTTCTTGGTCACAGGTATACCAAATATCCCACATGAGTGGAATGTAATTCATTCTGTGGAATTTGGAGAGCCATGGTTTTACAATGACAGCTTCTTCCACTAATTATCCTCCTACTCTTCAGTCAGAGTGAAGACACCAGCAGGGGCAAACCAGAGTCTGGTGATGGGCAATCGTAGAGTTGAAACACAGCAGTTCCCAGGATCTGTGAAAGAGAGACACTTACCATGTTGTGTTTCTTAAGAAACACCAAAAACTTAAAAAGCATGAAATACAATAATATTGTTATTTTCCAAGTAGTAGTCTCTGAACAGACCCTACACAACATAATGAAAAACGCATTAAACAATAAATAATCTCATAACAGTTAGTGAGACCAATATTTTATGTCTTCATATTGGAAAACCAAATTAAATGTCATGGGTTTTTTTTCTGCCCCAAATTTGTTTTTAAGTGGGCAAATAAATATTTCTTAAATTCATGCAACTGTACTTTTCATTAAGAAAAAGTCTTTTGGTTGCAGCTAAGTATTTGAGCAACTTCCCTTAGTACACCTATGAACTTTGGTTCACATCACTGTTTCAGTTAATTTATTCATATGTAATTAATCTCCGTACATCAACAGAAATGAATCATTCCACCTTACATTTTCTCAATTTGCACCATTTTTATTTTTCTTTTCAACCCACAGAATATCTTTATCTTAGTGTTCATAGGCACTGGGTAATAACCGTTTTCCAAACAAATAATAGAAGACAAAATTAAATCAAATTTGATTTTATTTTGTTTAACATGATCTACTGATCACTTCTGTCATGGCCTCTTTCACATCCTTGTTCCTCAGACTGTAGATCATGGGATTCAACATGGGGATCACTGTGGTATAGAACACAGCCACCATCTTCCCCTGCTCCACTGACTCCTCTGAGGGATGTCTGAGATACATGAAGATCAGAGTACCATAGAATATGATGACAGCTGTCAGATGGGACCCGCATGTGGAAAAGGCCTTCCGCCTTCCTTCTGCTGAGCGCATTCGCAGAATGGCAATGAGGATAAATAAATAAGAGATGATAATTACAGTCAGGGAATATGTGAAGTTAATGCCGGCAAGTATGATCATTGTATATTCTTTTACAAATGTCCCGGCACAGGCCATTTTGATGAGAGGTGGATCTGCACAGTAGAAATGGTTGATCTCAATTTTTCCACAGAAGTACAAGCCATAAGTCCATAATGTTGCTGCCAGACTCGTCAGAAAACCATAAATGTAAGGGAAGGAAATCAGTCGAATACAGACAACCCTTGACATTTTACTGCCATAAAGCAGAGGATTTCCAATCGCCATGTATCTATTAAAGGCCATCACAGCAAGAATAAAAATTTCCACATGGACAAGCGCAATGAAGAAGAAACACTGTACTAAACAGCCAGCATAAGAAATTGTTTTTTTATCTGATAACAGGTTTTCCAACATTTTAGGGGTGACATTGGAAGAAAACCACACATCAACAAATGACAAGTGACTGAGGAAAAAGTACATGGGGCTGTTAAGCCGAGGACTGACCTTGATTAACATGATCATGCCAATATTGCCCACCATGGTGATAATGTAGACCACAAGGAAGACGATAAAGAAGAGAACTTGCCATTCCTGATGGCTGGTTAGCCCCAAAAGAATGAACTCTGTCACATCGGTGAAATTGAGCATTTTCTCAATTCTAAGTCAATATCAGTTACAAAATTTTTGATAACTAAAATAAAATAGACGAAAAAATTAGGATGTTTACTTATTAATTTATACCTTTAGATCCTCCCTTTATACAATATCTATAAGCACACTGCATTATTTTCACCAATCTTTTCTCAGTGCTGTTACGTAATAGGCTCTACAATGAATAAATGTGGACAGTCCCTATTATGTAACAATTATACAAAGTATAATTGTATACGCTGATATTAAGTATTGTGAGTAGTCACATTTCCAAGATTACTTAACTTGTTAAATCTCCCTCATTTCCAGTGATGGCATGTTTGGAGTTTTATATTTTAAAGATAGTTACAGGGGATTATAGTTATTTTCATAATGGAACTTTAAAAGTGTACATTTTTACCTAATCTCTTGTTCATTATAAGCATATTCTCAATGATTAGAGAAGAAAATCATATGATTAAATAATTCATCAGCCTAAAATGTTATAAAATATTTTTAATCTAATCTCATTTGCATTATTTTCAAGTAATGAAAAACTGATGATAGTAGCCATCAAAGTCAAGTTAAAGGGTGAATTATTTGTCCATGTTCACACTGTATCAACATGTCCTGGATATGGACTCCCTCCTAACTCTAGTATAAAATTATAATCCACTAGATATTATATACTGTTATGTTCTAGAGATTCAAAGAGATGTACAACATACAGATTAATGTCAGTACTTATGAAGCTACTAATGTAAATAAATACTTTCTAAAACTTGGATGTATTCTTACAGAGGTATAATAGGGACAGAAATTTAGGAAGTGATTGATTCTCCTTTGAGGGTTCAGTGGAATTCTAGGAAGATTTCTTGTATATTTTGCAAATTTATTTTCAAATATAGGATGTATCATATAGGAAATTTCTTCTAGAAAATGTTACTCAAATTATATTTCTAAGAAAACATTAGTGTTTGGCATGATCTTACTAGATATAATAGAGAATAATCCACAAGTTTTTCTCCATCAAATGGGACATCTCTTTGCCCTGTCAAATCTCTTAGTGATTCACAGTCTACCTAGTAAAGTTATTTACTGTACACATCATTCGTTTAATATACAAATTTACACTCACACGCTCCCACACACACTCACACACCTCTCTCTATGTATATACATATGTGTGTTTATATATACACATATACCTATAAGTATGTAAACATACATAAAGCTTATATATATTTCTCTCATATATGTATGAGATATTAATTAGATATTTTGTCATTAATTAGATATTTTGTCAATGAGCAGTCACATTCTGTGGAACACAGAGTGCAAATATATCTAATAAGAATCTTGAGACAGCCTTTCAGCAGGAAATATATTTGTTGGAGATGGGATTGTGTCAAACCTTCTAATGGCTATATATTATCATTACAGCAAATGATTATTCCCAAGACCCTTCTTGTAACCTGCAACGTTAAACTGTATTCAATCACAATGTGATGAAATTTATCCGTATTATTACTGGTTAGCAGTTACCCAAAAAATTAGCAGTCAGGAAGGTAAATCTCAATGGATAATGAAAATAAGTGAATATTTACCCATAGTAATAATCCAAAACTTTTCAACCACAAACTTGGAAAGAACATTTTTCTATGACTAGAGGAGAAAATTACTAGCTGAAACAGATTACATTCTACATGGCTCCAGAGGTTTGGTCTAATTAATAAAAATTTGAAGGATTAATTAGTAGGTACATTTTTTTAAATGAATAATAGTTAAAGTTCTAAAAACTATGTATACTGTCTTAGAATATATTTATATATAGACTGCAAAATACTTAGAGTTGTTAAAATCTCTAAGGTCCTTAGATTCGTATCCGAACAGAAATTACAGGCATATCAACAGATAACTCTAGATTTCTGATTCAACAGTTTATGCCCGCGGCTGTCCGAAATGTTCTTGCTGGCAATAGAGTGATTCTTATTTGGAAAGTCATATCTCATTCCGTGCTGAAGGGTGATTCAGCACAAACAAGGATGTAGAAGATGGCATTGTCAGTACTCTCCAAAAGCTAAATACAAAGAGCCCTGAGTGATGGTTATCCAGGTGATGAATAGCATTAGTAAAATTACAGGAAACTAGGGGTTAGATATGATCCTAGGGGGTGCAAGGTGTACAAAGAAATAGAGATTAGGGGACCTCAAGAGTATTTAGAGAATTTCCTCATTACCTAAATTAAAAAACACACACATAATCTTTCCTTATTAAATTACTCTATTTCAAATTAAATTGCCAATAAATATGGATTCTTTTCCAGACCAGGTATGAAGCAGTATTAACTATCTTAGTTAAAGAATTCTGTTCTATCATCAGAGTTTAGTTGGATCCAGGCTCTATGACTTATTTTATAAAACTGCACTTGTCTTATTCTTGTTTTGTTTTGCTTTTACTTTTTATGTTCCTCAGCAGGACTTAATAATAATAATAATCATTTCATTGTGTGTTTGTGAATATGAAAAGATATATATTAACACATAATACATATGAAAATGATTATCAGATACACTCCTTTATTCATTTGTAATTATCAAATAATATAGTCTTACTGAAAATGTATCTCTCTTTTATGTATCTCAACACATACACACATAACGTAGATAAAATCATGAATGCATTCCTATAAATCGTAAAAGAAAATAAAATCTCCAGTGCAAGCTCCATCTGACAATTCTAGATAGATACATTTTTCACCAACCTGAGAATGAAGAGAAATATTCCCAATGTGGATGCAGAGTTGAAAAGTGCATGCTATATATGGGAATGGTAAACACTTTCAACCTGACGAAAGAGAAACTGGGAAAAGTCCACAGTGGAAGTCTCCCTTAACTGCTGATTAGAAAGCAAGGAGCAATTAAGATTTTTTTTCCCATAGAAATGGTCCTGTGGAAGAAGTGCATCTCTAGAGAGAGAGCCAACTGTTGAGTGTGTGGGGTTTTTTCATTAGAGTTTTCTACAATTTTATTTTCCCCCTAACTCCAGTTATTTCGAATGAGTACTAAAATCAAATACAATTTGGGAGGGGATTTGTATCACGCTAAACCTGTTTATGGGGTAATCCAAACTGTGTATATCCAGTTCATGCTCTATACTTCACATTCTCTGCTGTAGGGTTTTTCAGGGAAGATGAGTCAACTATTATTCCCTCTAATTAAAAATATAGCATATAAAAGCAGAAAAAAATACATTTTCTTCAATTCCCTCATTTTATAAATAACAAAAGTATTACTCCAAGTAGTAGTAGTAATAATAGCAGCAATAATGCATTTTTGAAGTAACACACACCAGATACTGTGCTAATTTAATTATTGTAACTCAACCCTGAGGCAATTAATATTATTATTTTATAGACAAGAAACTGAGTCTTTCAGAGGTTCAGTGACTTGATCAATGTCACACTTTCAATGAACTAGATTCCTGATTCCAGAATTTGTACCATTAACCCATCTCATCCTTTTGTCCAACAAGTAACCATTACAGGAAAAGAGACCAAATTTCTTATTTCCTAATCCTAAAAGACTCTCATTTTTGTTACATGACTGGTATACATGATACATTCTATCATGGTCTTTATGGACTTAAGGTAACACAAATCTGTTTTTGTATAGCCAAACAATTGTGGATTGTTTCAGTGTCATGTGCAGTTGTCACTTTACTTGGGTGCCTGAAAATTTTCTCCCACAGCTGAAACTTGCTCCCTCTTCTGGCCTCCCCACTGCCCCTATGTTAACACCAGCCATGTTTGTGTTCCTACAAAACAATCTCGATTCTCATTTATTACGTTGTGGAGAAAATTGCTGGTTTCTCTACTCATACCTTGTTCCTTTTTCATGGTAATACAATTTTGATAAAAGGGCCCCTGACTGAATTGCCCCAGCCCTGCCCCAGTATTTATAACAGTATTTGGCACATGGTAGTTTCACAAAATATTTGTTAACTGATGAAAACAGTTAAAGTGATCAAGTTTTCAATCGTTGATTAGATAGATAGGAGAGGTACACATCTAAGTATTCTTAAATACTTCTCAGAATAATGTTGAGATGTTTCAGACACAAAATGAAGTTGTAGTTTAACACTGAAGAACTTTGGTTAGGACTGCAAGTTAGAGCTCTGAGTGCATCGAGAGAGAATAATTGTTGGCGTGAGAGAATAATTGTGCTACTTATTGCCAGGAGTTTACTATCTATAGAAGTCATGGGCCTCACATTATAAAGGGTAAACTGCAGTTCTTTGAACACAGACTGTTTTTCAGTTGCAAATTAAATAATTTTTATCTGTAATAATATTGTGTTAGGTTTAATTTTTAAGGTCATTCTCTACAAGACACTAAATAATCTCATGTGATTTTTTTCTGGGTTTTATGATGTAAATGTGCTTATCGGTGACTGTGATAAGCTGTGAGAACTACTTATTTAGCACACAGAAATATAGATAAGACTCATTTCACATAGCAAGAAAGTAAGCTTTTCTTATTCTAGTCCTAAAGTCCTCTCCATGATAGAAAGAAGGTAACTTAACTCAAGAGTTGTTTACTTGAATCATGCAAATGTTGTCTTCTCTTAAACACTTCCTGGAGGTTCCTAGGTAAAATTAATAATCTCTGCTCCTGAATTTTGACAACCCTTAGCTCATATTGCTCATATCGTAGCTACCACATTTTATTACAGTTCATTTTAAGTGCGTGTTTCATAATGCTAGACTATGAATAGGTTGAAACCAGTCACAGTGTCTTAACCATTGTTGCATCTTTATTACATAATACTAAGTATTTTGCTAGATACTGTAGAAAACACAGTAAAAAACGTAGTGTTTCCTGTCCTACTTGCTCACATTGGGATGCACACCTCACACACCCCAAGAAATACACAGACCACACTGACCCACCAAACTCATCTCGTGCCTCTAGCACATACTCCAAGATGCATACCTCTGTCTCAGGGTCCAGGACAACTCAGACTTCTTTAATTTATTAATTTTAATTTTTAA